TAAACAGTATCCATTACTACTAATAATGAAAGACTCTTCGGAAAATCGAATTGAATTCTCTCAGTCACTGTTTGTTTATCTAAAAATAAATACGCTTAAATTCAACTTCATCCTTGCTGTGCGCCAACGGCTTAGCGGTAGAATCTGCAACTGACGCCAATTCTGTTGGGTTTCGATCCTACCTAGAGGCAACCAGACATCTAGTCACATTGATGAGCTGTGATACAGCGAAACAGTCTGTTTTTGACACTATACTATATATATATATATATATATATATATATATATATATATATATATATATATATATGTTATGGTCCGTTCCTTGTACTACGGTGATAGTCCAAGGTAGAACCAATAAAGAAGAACTCGAACACGGATATGGAATAACACAGATATATTACAAACAGGAATATATACAGAGAAGTAGAAAGTGTTAGTACGAACAATCAGGTTTAGTCGTAATTGTCTGAACGCGACTCTGTTTCGGACTGCCTCTGACTCGAATCTTGACTCGACTTTATCGCTATTGTTATGGTCCGGTTCCTTGTACCACGTGTGATAGTCCAAGGTAGAACCAATAAAGAAGAACTCGAACACGGATATGGAATAACACAGATATATTACAAACAGGAATATATACAGAGAAGTAGAAAGTGTTAGTACGAACAATCAGGTTTAGTAGTAATTGTCTGAACGCGACTCTGTTTCGGACTGCCTCTGACTCGACTGACTGACTCGTTCGCTCTGACTGACTGACTCCTGACGGACCTCACTTCAGACTGAACTCCCTGCTTCCTCTTGAGACGCAGTATTTATTAAGTATGGAATAGTCTATTATGTGATTATGGGTAAGGTACCATAACAATATATACGTTACAATATAGAATGAAGCGGACATCCAGTGCTTTCTGCATTCTGCTGAGAAACCTTCTTCGATGAATTACTTTAAATGATTATTCAAATCCTCTATATCTTCTTCTTTGTCACCGAGGTCTATTGGTCCAGTGGTATGACGCTTGCCTTGTGTCGTAACGGTCCGGGTCCGCCTCTCGTTAGTGGATGCACACTGCTGAGGAGTCCCAAATAGGACGAAACGACCGTACAGTGTTTTCTTCATTCTGTTGAGGATTCTTCTAGACTCAATGAAGTACTATAAATGATTATTCAAATCCCCACAAAAATTTATACCAATAATATTTTACTATATTTTGAATTACTATATCATGAATTAATATAAATGATTATTCTCCCCACCAAAAAAATTCTATCACTTGTATATCCTTGCTTGATCCAGGAGGGAGTGACTTGCAGAAAAAAGACGTGATACTCGGAGGAGTATCACCACGGAATTTAACGAGTAGCGTCGCGAGATTGAGCCTTGTCAGTTCCTTTTTCGTCACTGAGGCCCGTTTGTCCAGTGGTATGACACTTGAGCTGTATCGTAGCGGTCATTCTTGGTAGTGGACGCGCATTGCTGATGAGTCTCAAATAGGACGAAACGGCTGTCTAGTGCTTTCTTCATTCTGTTGAGGATTCTTCTAGATTCGATGTATTACTATATTGTTCACCACCCCACACAATGTATATCCTTGTTTGATTCAGCTTCTAATGCTCTGGATGAAGCGGCTTGGAGAAAAAAGGCGTGGCTCTTGGGCCACAATCCGTTGGGTATCGAATACTTGGAGGATTATCACCACGGAATTTAGTGTATAGCGGGGATATATCAGTTTTTAATTCGTCACCGAGGCTCGTTGGTCCAGTGGTACGACGCTTGTGTTGTATCATAACGTTCCAGGTTCGATTCTCGCTAGTGGATGCGCATCGCTGATGAGTTCCAAATAGGACGAAATGGCCGTCCAGTGCCTTTTCCATTCTGTTGAGGATTCTTCTAGATGAATTAATATAAATTATATGTATATATGGGACCCCACAAAAATGCGATACCTAGGGATTAAGATGAATTTTTAAAAATAAAATATCTTTCTATATTTCTGAGATGAGGTATTATTTACATTATTCGGACGATTGTCCTCATCTTTGTCGCCATATTTATTACAACGTTTCGGCCTTTCAGTATCTGTCTATATTTCTGAGATGAGGTATTATGTACACTATTTACATTATTCGGACTATTGTCCCCATTTTTTCGCCATATTTATTACAACGTTTCGGCCTTTCAGTATCTGTCTATATTTCTGAGATGAGGTATTATGTACACTATTTACATTATTAGGACTATTGTCCTCATCTTTGTCGCCATATTTATTACAACGTTTCGGCCTTTCAGTATCTGTCTATATTTCTGAGATGAGGTATTATATACATTATTTACATTATTCGGACTATTGTCCTCATCTTTGTCGCCATATTTATCACAACGTTTCGGCCTTTCAGTATCTGTCTATATTTCTGAGATGAGGTATTATGTATATTATTTACATTATTCGGACTATTGTCCTCATCTTTGTCGCCATATTTATTACAACGTTTCGGCCTTTCAGTATCTGTCTATAATTCTGAGATGAGGTATTATGTACATTATTTACATTATTCGGACTATTGTCCTCATCTTCATCGCCATATTTATTACAACGTTTCGGCCTTTCAGTATCTGTCTATATTTCTGAGATGAGGTATTATGTACATTATTTACATTATTCGGACTATTGTCCTCATCTTTGTCGCCATATTTATTACAACGTTTCGGCCGTTGTTCGCTCCAGGTGGTTGAAATGCTGAACTGAACCCTTTATTTCGCTCACTGGGGTAGACTAGTTCCAATTCCAATAACAAACAATTACTATTCTTAAAAGAGTGATCAATACAGAGTAAAGCATATATTATTTATTAAAAAATTATAACATAAATGTTATAAAATCACTACAAAAATAGCCATTTTGTTTCAACATTTCTGGTGTATTATCAGGTGATGGTGTTGAATGTAGAATAAAAATGGTTATTTTTGTAGTGATTTTATAACATATTTGTTATAATTTTGAATAAATTATACATATATATATATATATATATATATATATATATATATATATATATATATATATATATTAAATTATTTATTTACATTATTCGGACTGTTATCCTAATCTTCATTATTCTGTTCACAACGTTTCAGCTGTTATACGTTCCAGGCTTATTCAGGTGATTGGAATTTCGAGCTGAACCCTTTATTTCTAATCTCCTGAAGAAAGCCGGGGCGTACAACGGCCGAAACATTGTGAATACGGCAAAAGAAGACGACGATAACAGTCCGAATAATGTAAATAATCATAATAATCTCAGAGATATAGACAGATATATAGCATAATATATTCATGTACTAGAATATATATATATATATATATATATATATATATATATATATATATATATATATATATATATGAAAAGTATATAAATATAAATAAATATAAGTATGTATAATTATTTATATATTATATGCTCGGTACTTATTAGAAAGCGCTCAATATCAGAATAGAGCCTAATATTTGGTTGATAGATGTGAGACCTGGGTTTCACGCTTTAGCGATCATCAGACGTCTGACGATCGCTAAAAGCGTGAAACCCAGGGTCACAAACTCACATCTATCCAACCAAATATATATATATATATATATATATATATATATATATTATTTTTTTAATATATGATCATCGCAACACCGAAATTACCATGTTTCAAAACTGAAAATTTAAATTCAATCATAAAAATTAAATTTAAAATTAAAAAAATCTGTTCCATTATGAAGCGATGCTAAGAATAACTTTTTAGAAATTGATTTACTTAGTTTATAAGTCCAGATAAATTTGACTTTTTGAGATGTTGGGGTGAAGGAAAATTCCGTTTTTTTATTTTAATTTTGGTGTGTTAAGATTTAACTTATTTAGAAAACTCTTGTATCTAATGTACTGTAGGTATCAGGTCGGATAGAAACTTCATTTTTTTTTCAATGAGAAATCTTTATGACTGAATTTGAATTGAAGTTTCAGTTTTGAAATATGGGAATTCCGGTGTAGCGATGATAATATATATATATAAAAAAAGCAATTATAATTTTGTTCTACGGTTGTATCGAACGCTGTTTTCGAAAAATAAAAAATAAATGCTAAGAACTCTTGTTTATAAATTTCATTGTTCTTTCCTTTATTATATATATATATATATATATATATATATATATATATATAAGATAATAGGATATATATATATATATATATATATATATATATATATATATATATATGATATACAGGGTGTCCATAAAGTTCGTCTGCACTTTAAAAAAAATTTATAACTTTATTTGTATTTGCGATAGAAATAATTTGTAAAAAGGATTAGAAAGAAGTAAATCTATATTTTTAAAAAGGTTTTATTGAAATTTTATTTAAGTTTCCAAATGTCCTCCATCATTAGCAATACAAAGGGTAATAAAGGTAATTTTTGCAGTTCACTGAAAACATTTGCCAACTGATTTACAGTAATGTCTGAAATCACATTAGTTATTTTAGCTATACTTAAAAACTAGGTACATTAAACTTTATAACATTTTTACAGATTATTTCTATCACAAATACAAATAAAAGTTATAATTTTTTTTTTGTGCACACGAACTTTATGGACACCTTTGTACATCTATCTATCTATCTATCTATCTATATATATATATATATATATATATATATATATATATATATATATATATATATATATATATATATATATATATATATATATATATATATATATATATATATACACGAATGGATAGATTCTACTACAGGAGAAGGAGATGCTGAGGAATAAAAGAAGACATTAAAAATAATATTAATATATTCGCCCGTGGTAATTATATTGGAAGAGAAAGATCGATGATGCCAAAGTTGATACTAAATTCGTCTTTCTCTAATGAGACAAGAATCGATTATTAGTTTTTCATTTTAAATTTCAGCAATTAGTATAAAATCTACATACAGAAAAGATGCTTAAGAATCGATCGTTTCTTTTCAATTTTTCCTATTCATTGCAGTTGCGAGGTGTGTGTGTTGAAGCAGCAATCTTAGCCAATGACAGAAAATGTTCAGGGTCGATATTGAAAATACGTTGCCGCCAACTACTTGTTCGGACGAATATAAGTTCCTGTCAAGAGTGAAATAAATATATCAGTTGATTAATATCTATCTATCTATCTATCTATCTATCTATCTATCTAGTTCAGTCTTAATATCTATCTATCTATCTATCTATCTATCTATCTATCTATCTATCTAATTCAGTCTTAATATCTATCTATCTATCTATCTATCTATCTATCTATCTATCTATCTATCTCTGTTAATATCTATCTATCTAATTCAGTCTTAATATCTATCTATCTATCTCTGTTAATATTTATCTATCTATCTATCTATCTATCTATCTATCTATCTAATTCAGTCAATATCTATCTATCTATCTATCTATCTATCTCAGTCTGTTAATATCTATCTATCTATCTATCTATCTATCTACACTTACAACAAAAGAATTCTTGGATTTAACACTTTACAAATTTCATACAAAAATTTCTCACTTGAAATATGTGAACTCTAGCATTGCATCTTGAATGTTCCAATATTATATAACCATTAATAAATGATACATTCTTAAAAAAAAACTTTTTTCAGTCTGCAATACATTTATTTTGTCCTGGAGTTTAATTTCTAATTGCAAAAAAATGACAGCCTGACGATGAGAATATGAAGTTTTCGAAAGTACTTGCTGCTCTAAAAATACACCCGATCCATCTGACAACAATTTTATACATAAGGATCGCGCCATTTGCAGACTTAATATAAGCCAATGCTTATATTAAGTCTACTAGCGAAAAGAATTCATCATTAATTATATTACTAACAACAATAACAAAAATATTTACCTACGTTCGCCTATTAGTGTCCTCCATCATTTATCTTTCCTTAAACAGCAAACTTTAAGAATATTTTAGAGCGTTCTCTTATACAAAATTTGAAAACCATATTATCAAGTTACGAAATAAAATTTACACATTTATTTCCTCTCAATCGGTCGATCTGTTCTTATCTATCTATCTATCTATCTATATATCTCAGTCAGATTATATCTGTCTATGTATCTATCTCAACCAGTTCCTATCTATCTATCTATCTATCTATCTATCTATCTATCTATCTATCTATAACATTGATTAAGAAAGACTTCACAATTTTCTTTCAAATAATTTTTCTTTTCTTAAGTACTTTCAATCTCATCTGAAATGTTAATACTCATGTTGATTTTACAACAACGACGATCACGAGATGGCTTACTTTTTACTTAAACGATCATAGTTCAATATCAGAGCATTTAAAGGATCAATAATGTCCTTGTTCCCATTTTAGACAGATATTAGTCGAAAATACTTCAATGTTGCATCGAGATAATAATAAGCAAACTCTTAAAATTCTGGAAGCCCTTTATATGAGAGTCTTGCGGCCTGAAATAAATAAACTCAACTACGACTATAGCAACAAAATTTTTAAATGTGTGTAGCAACAAAGTGTTATATAAAAATGTTAAATTAAATCACTAAATTAAAAAAATAAATCTTAAAAATGTTTTTTTAATTATTAAAATGAGTCACATAAGTTACCTCTCTTGCATTGTGGTAAGAATCTATTTTGAATTTACGGTATTAACGTATAACATATCCCTAGATATGCAACCCCCGTAAAAGGCCTCAGATGAGACTGAAAGTACTTTGGGAAATAAAAATTATTTGGAAAAAAAAATCGCTGAAGTTTTCTTAATGAAATTTCTACAGCCACCAAGAAATTTATTTGTGGACATAAAAGGATTAAAACTAAATAAAATAAATAGGAATAATACGTCTAAATTATTTAACCAAACATGCTTGGATGTGTGTATATATATATATATATATATAAAGACTAACGCTTTTTGCTACTGTGGTTTCTACCAATAAATAGTTTCTTCAGTCTCTTCATATTCTATCTATCTATCTATCTATCTATCTATCTATCTATCTCAGTTGGACTGTTTATTTCTCTGTCTATCTATCTATCTATCTATCTCAGTTGGACTGTTTATTTCTCTGTCTATCTATCTATCTATCTATCTCAGTTGGACTGTTTATTTATCTGTCTATCTATCTATCTATCTATCTATCTATCTTATTCTATTCTATCTTTCTCAATCTATCTTATTCTATTCACATCTTTCTCAGTCTGTTCATTCTATGAATCTATCTATCTATCTATCTATCTATCTATCTATCTATCATCTATCTATCCGAGTCTTTTAATTCAATGAATCTATCTATCTATCTATCTATCTATCTATCTATCTATCTATCTATATAAGTTATGAAGAACTTGTTCGTATGTACTCTAAAAAGTAGATGAAATTAGAGATTTATATGAATTTATATATATATATATATATATATATATATATATATATATATATATATATATATATGTATGGGCATTTAGGATAAGGGTGCTTATATGAATATATGTTTTGTATGAATTGTAATCACACATATATATAGGGGTATGTGTATGTATATATGGATATATATGCATATGTATGAGTATGAATATATATATATATATGCATATGGTATGTATAGGTACTAGCGTAGGTTTTTGTGCTAGGTATCGTTGTGTATATGTATGTGTATTTTACATGTATGTATGTGTGTATGTATGTGTATGTATATGAATGTATATATGTGCGTATGTATAGATGTATATATATATATATATATATATATATATATTACACTTTTAATATAAAATTGCATGTAATCTGTATATGTATATAGATGGAAATAGTTTAGAATGAATATTTACAATATGTGTGAGTATATGTATAACATAGTAATATAAATACATATGCATGTATGTATGGTTATGGGTAGAGTTCTTTTCATATGCTTGTTTATGTATATAATCGTGTGTGTATATATGTAGGTGTATGTATATGTGTATGTAGATGTGTATATGTATATATATGGTTATATGTGTATATGTATGTATATGTGTATATGTATGTATATGGGTATATATATATATATATATGTATGTATATGGGTATATATATATATATATATATATATATGTACATATATATATGTGTATATATGTATATATATATAAATGTCTGTGTATGTGTATGGAATTGTATTCAAATGGAAGAACATGGTCATTCTAATGGCGTTTTAAAATTACTCTTTTTAATATTTAATATCACTTTCTCCTTTAATGTTCAATAATTAGAATTATGAGAGTGTTTATTTATCTTCTGGAGGTATTTTTATTTTTATTTTCAATTGATAACTTAAATTTAAATATACCACTATTTAAATATTAATATTAATAGTAAAATATTGACAAATTTTTTTTTAATAATTAAGCATTTCAGAAGTCACCTAACGTTAAACTTTAACTATGAAATCAAACAAAAATCTAAATAAATTTCAAATAAAATATAGGTAATTATTTATTAACGTACGTATAAATAGTTTATGTATGAATATAGATGAACATTTGTGTATATTGTTACACGTGTGTCTATGTGTGTATTTGCGTATGTAAATAAACGTATGTATATATGGGATTTGCATGAATATGTTTGTGATATATATATAAGAAGAAAGCAAATTTTTTAATATTAACCTCAAATATTATTCAATAATGAAACCTAAACCTTAACTAAGTAAGTTTACCCATATAATAATAAAGAAAAATTGCATTCATAAATTAGATTAAAAGTAAAACTAATATAGATGTTACCGTAATTTTTTTTTTTTTTTTTTTTACAATATTAAGGAAGTAAAATTGGTCGGGTAAATAAACTAATTTAAAATAATTCTTTAATACGTTCTCTATAAATGTATTGATAAAAATAGTTAACTTATATTAAGCCCCTAAACTATTTGTATGTAAAATTAAATATTTAAATTGATAACAATCATCAAATTTTTTTAGACATCAAAATTTCTATCAAGCATTGAAATCTATCCTTTACATAAATTGTTAAATCCCAATTACAGCCTCTTTCGATTTACTTCCCCCCCTCTCCCTCTCTCTCTCTCTCTCTCTCTCTCTTTGCATATACTCATTTGTATATACTGTTTTGTTTTTCTGTCTCCTCTTTCTTTTTTCATTTTTCTTTTTCTTTTCTCCCTACTCCCCCCCATTTCTATATATCATTTCCGTTAAATTAACCATCTAAATAGGTCATGGTCTGGTCACTCCTCCCACTCAATATAAAAGCACACTTAAGAGAGATATGAAATTAACCCCTCCCTATACTCTACCATGTCTCTTTAACTATCCCTCTCACACCCTCTGTTAAATTACAAAAACTTACACTACCCATCAATTTTTAATCTCATTTTTCATTTCATTTCTTTGTTGGAAGTGCTATCTGATGATCCGGCGTCCTTTTGAAAGGACTCTGGTGAAATAAATTATTGCAATGGTACCTTAAAGTGGTCTGTTTTTCTTTTTTATATATATATATATATATATATATATATATATATTTATATATTATATATATATTTTGTGTATTTAGCAGCAATCCTTCTTTCATGTACATTTTCATTGAATACGACAGACAAGGTCCTTTTATTTAGTTTTTATATATAATTTCTCATGCGATCTAATATTTTTTTTCTTTTTTGATGATAAATTATATAAAAACTGTCCGAATGTTCTTTTTATCCGAGCGCTTTCGGCTATACATTTAGCCATTTTCAAGGATTACATTTTTTACTGTTAAAAAAAAGAAATAGTTTGTTTTTTTTTCAAAATGCGTTCAAGTTATTATGTCCACGCAAAAAAGGCTAAAAGTAATGGAGGCCTTATCAATAAAAACAATAAATCCAACACTTAATAATATTACCTTTGAACATGGACATAATATCTGAAATGTGCATATATATATATATATATATATATATATATATATATATATATATATATTAGTTAACCTAAAATAGGTCAATGTCTGATCCTTACCTCGTTCTTCCTCAATATTAAGTATTATAAAAAGAAATATAAAAATAAATTTGAAAACACTCCCTTCCCTCTCTAAACTCGACCATTTCTCTCATACTATCACTCACCACCCTCTATGTCAACTTATATAAGCTTAATATTGCCCGCCAAAAGTGTAAATTTTAATTTCATTTTTCGTTTCACCATTTGCAAGTGAAGTCTAAGGATCCAGAAA